AATCGTTCAACCAAATCCTGCTGTGCGAACGTTTTGGCCAGGCGATGCAGCATGTAAGCATTACGATATACCGAGTAATCCAGTCGCTCAAATCGAGGCAAYAGCTGCATAAAGATATGTGTATAAACAATCAGATTGTCTATTATGAAGCCGTCGTAGACAGACGTAATAGGTGGCTCATAATTTATTCCCATGCTGCAAGAGAAGAAAAGAGAATATGAATATGAATATGAAGGCAATTGAGACTTCTCAAATGCTAAGACTTACGTTCGATTGGTGGCGCCCATAGTGTAGCGCCACGGTTGAATGTAGCTCAGCCAGAGCTCCAAAACGACACTCAACGAACTGTCCAGTGGCCAGCGATCGATCAGACTGCAGAGGAAGGCATAGATGCGCCCCTTAACCATGTTTAGTGAGAGTTTTCTCAGCTGACAGAGCGGACTGTGATCCATACGCGAGCCATTGGCAAAGAAATGTATCTGCTTGACAAGCGTACGAACGCCTCGCACAAACTCGCTGCTGGGCAGATGGTGCTCCGATTCGACGTCATAACGCAACCAAATATCAACGAAGAAATGCACCACAGACTCGGAGCGCCAGGTRTAGATCCGGCTAGCAGTCGCATGGCCATCCGCCGAAGACTGCGACGACGTGTTTGCCACCCCTACACTTTCAGCCTCTCCATTTTCGTTGCGATAAGAGCTGGGCAGCTTAAGATAACGCAGCTGCCGCTGCGGCTGCAGCGACGGAGCGGGCAGCTGTTGCGGCGCCTTGACACTGCTGGCATAGTTTGATGGTTCAATGTTGGCATTTGGATACTGGGGCAAGAAGTTATCCAAATACTCGGCAACCAGCAGCTGATAGACTGTCTTCGTCCTCTCGCTGTGAATCTGCATAGCAATGGGATTGATGGTGTGCAGAGGCTGCAGCGCGTGCAGCACAAAGTGGAGCATATAGAAGTCGAAGGCGTTGAGGGAGAGCGTGGTCAGCTGWTGCTTTATAGGGTCGATGTTGATTAGATCGGAGTAGAACATTGGACCCCCTTGCAGCATGCTTATGAATTTACGCTGTGAATAGAGAATATAAGTTATGTTTACTACAATATTCAATGTTCAATATTCGATTTAATTTATTAACCAACCGGCAATAAATTAATATCTATATCGAATTTTGTAGTCTCGTTTAGCAGTCGATGGCAGATGTGCATCCAAATACCGTTCACAGCAAAGAATTGATGCAGCCTGTTGTAAGAATGCACCGCATTCTCCAGTGTTGTCGTCCGTAATCCCCATCCCAGCGGATTGCTATTAACTCCAAATATCGAGTGGACAATGAGCGGGTAAATGTCCTGAATTTGACGAATGGTGCAGCGATCGAATAATAACTCCAGTTGTGCCAGTTTGTCAAGCAGCGGAAGGCTGAGCACAGCCAGTATGTGGCTCTGCAAATTTACAGGTAATTTTAATTAATCCACCAGCGTTAAATGGCAAATTATACTTACATTTATATTTTCTGGCGGCATCGGCTGAGACATGCTGTCGGCGTTTGACCAATGACTCTCAAACTATGTTTGTATCAAACAAWTTTAGCAAGCAGAWTAGCGTTGCCATTTGAGTCTGTGTCTGTTATCGATAGTGTAATTGAGTGATAGAAAGGTGAAGGTGACATATAAAATAAAATCGTTGAACATAAAGTTACAGTCACATATTTCAAAGAAATTGCAATTTATATTTATGTGCCTCTTTACTTTAAGCGTTACTGTTAATGCTTATGAGCTTACTAGCTTGGCCAATTTTATTTAGGCAGGGCTGCAACAAAATATTTATTTTCTTTTGTGATATTTTAYCGGTTGCTTCGTACGGTCATATTGTTCGCGGCCGGCATTTGTTTTGACATTTCGCTAAACTTTTTATTTGTAGTTTTGTATAATTTTCAAACGTCAAAATGAAACGCCGGAGTCAAACAAACACGCAAGCGACCAAGGAAGCCGACAAGAAGTCTAAGGAAAAGATTGGTACACTTACCCTGGATCAGTTCAGCTCTGATGTTATTTGGCAGGTGGGTGCTGCGCAAGACCTAAACGTTTACACATTATAATCCAACTTTGATGCTGTTTTAGCTGGCATCACAGTACTGGTCGCCTGAGACTAAGGACAAACATTTGCCATATAATGCTGACATCATAGAGCGCATATATGCGGACGAGATTTCGAGTGGAAAGGGCAGCGCACGTCGCATTAATATGCTAGAATTTAGCCAGTACCTGGAGCAGTATTTGTGGCCCAACTACAAGCGCAAGTCGGCTACACACGCACACTTAATGTCTATCGTGATTATGTCAAACGAAAAGTTTCGGGAGCGCGTCGAGGTTTGGAATGTGTTTGAGCAGTTGCCGGAAGAATTCCCAGGATTCTTTCGTCACGTGCTGGAGAGCTGCTTACCCGACCAAGCGACAAAGCAAAATAAGAGCACAATGCGCGAGCGGACGGCATTGCTCATGTTTCTAAATCACTGTTTCAATAGCATGGAAATCGAGCTTTGTCGCGAGCAGGCAAAACGCCTCGTCTCCCTCTCTATGTGGCACTGCCTACAGCCGCGTATGTAGAATAAATCCTCTGCATGTAAATATTTTTTAAAATTAATGTATACAATTTGTAGGTCGCCGCGAACAAGAGCTGCGGGAGGTGCCCGAATGGCGCAAATACTGGAAGCGTTTGCAGAAAAAGGAAAAGGAGAATGTAAAGCCCGATGTTATGTGGGAACGTCACTTTATGCAGAATCTAATTATAGACTTTTTGCGCATACTGGAGCGCATTCCATTGGAAGGTGAACTAAATAGTAACGTGGTTCATTACTGCGAGCGTTTCTTAGAATTTATCATTGACTTGGAGGCTCTATTGCCCACGCGTCGCTTCTTTAATACCGTGCTGGATGATTGCCACCTGATTGTGCGCGCAGTCATGAGTCCATTGGTGCAGCGGGAAGAGGGCAAACTATTTGGTCAGGTATGTATCAGACTTTTTTAATTATATCTTCTATAAATTAGCTTTAAGTACAAATCCCAATGTTTAACATTGTTAAACTACAAAAACACTTAGCATAGCTACAAGTAGATCTTACAATTAGTTGATGAAAAACTAAGGCCCAGACTCAACTATAACTTGGCTTTGGAGCAGGGGTGGAGGGCACTCAATATTCGTTGCCGTTCATGTAGTGCATTTCGTCACCCCAATCGTTCGCTGATGGCGGCTCATTGTAGCAGCAGGACTTCTTCAGCAGATAAGTCACATGACGCTGCCTCAGCACGCATATGTAGAGCAGCAGCGGCGCCTGGAACGCATTCACTATGATATGTGCATAGAGCAGACCGTCCAAGGCAAGCCATGACATGGTSAGAAACAGCCAGGAAAACGACATCACTAGCAGCATTAGTGAGAACATGATAAAGCTGCAAGACAATTAAATTTATTCAAGATCGATATGGAGAATAGATGGCATTCAACTCACTTGGCCTTCAGCTTGTGTGCGATTCGTCCGTAGACGGTGCGCCGATTGATCAGTTTCCGCGTGGTCACATAGAAGAAGATGTTCACTATAATCGTGCATGCAATGGGTGCAAAGAATATGCAAATGCCGAGCCAGCCAATCGTCTGCTGCTCGCCTCKCATGTTCTCCTTTTTGTACGAGTCCGCGTCCAGGAAGAAGTGTGCAAAGACAGCGAGCACAGCCATGGTGGCCGTGCAGCCCCAGGCATAGAACGAGTAGTAGCAATACTTACGTCCATCRGTGACACGCAGGAATACATTCCTCGACCGAAATGTTTTCCATATGTAGTAGCCGAAGCTATTCAGCCAGAAGAATGCGGCCAGAAGGCTGAAGCAGAGTATTATATCAGCCACGATAAAGCTGACGTGATTTGTGAAATCTGTGAAGATACAGACCAGGTCTGCCGCCTGACTTACCATCAGGCACATGGCTATCGTAGTCACTATATTCCCAACCAGATCTCTGCTAAACGAAACAAATGTGTCAATGAATAACATTATACATATAGTACTCCATATTCAACAACTGATCTCACCTTAGTGTGGGTAGTATGAAATAGATAATGGCGATGATCAGCAAGATAATCAGCGATATGCCGTGGAATAGGGGATTGAGTATTTTACGCAGCAAGAAGTTCGAATCATTCCAATTATTCTCCTTCCTGGCCAAACAGATGTGCGCAAAAAGGCTGTGTTTATGCTCTGGCGAAATGGCCTGAAATATACAAATTGTTGACGTGAAAGAACAAAAGGAACCACAATATCACGTATTTAAAGTGCAAACCTTATCGAGGCAGTATTGACCCTGCTCATAGTCGTAGAAACGTGGCTTTTGCGCCTCAGCCAAATCCTCGTCATAGTCCGTCTGCACGCCGCGCTGCTCGTCAGCCTCGTCCTCTGTATTCGTATAGTGCCGCAGTTTGCCATCATCCAAGAGGACCAACTTGTCGTAGCTCTGCAAGGGAAAATCATAAGTCAGAGCAGCTCCAATTGTCACTTCATTTAGATGTGCTTACCCCCACATAGTCCAGAACAGGCCACATCTGTTTGTTGCCACAGTTGGGCAGGCCTATAACGAACTTAAAATGGGCCACTGGTCTGCTCTGATCGCCACTGTAGCTGGTGAACATCGGCTCGAAATAGTCTATAAAAGGCAAATATAGATATACGCATAAGGCATTAGTGCCGGATCGCATTAATTGAATAAGAAGAAGAAGAAGAAGAAGAAGGAGAACGGAGCGCATCAATAGAGCAACGGGGCAAGCACAGGCGAACAAAGCCAATCATAAAGCACTCCATGTCTATAAATATTTACGTGCTCAGAGGCAGCACAAATCCAGATTCTCTTGGACATACACACGCACACACACACATACAGAGACACATATATATAGCTGCATTAACAGCATCAATTGACGCCAGACAATATTTCAGTTTGCAATATTTTCTGCAAGTTGCGTTAATTGCTTTAGCTTTCATTTATGTAGTTGATCAWGTTGCATGATATAGCAGTCGAGTCGAATGTAAATGGAGATCTTCGTATTTCTTTGAGTAGTCTTAATTGATATGTGGGAATTTGGTGCACTCCGACTTAAAGCTAGCTCGGGGGCTATCTAGTATGAATGATACTAATAGATAAATAAATAAATATCCAACAAATGAATTCTGATTTCTGGCTATCAACAAAATTAGGCCTCAACTGTTAAATCTATATATATAAAAGAAAGTTGTGTAAAAGTGAAGACTGCTTATAACTTGATTTGGGCTGAACCAATTTTCATGGTTTTTGATTTGTTGGATTTGTCTCCGCAACGAGTTTAGTATAGGGTCTTAAAAATACTGAAAAAATTTGCCGAATACTTGAAAAACGCGGTTTTTTCCCCAAATGTTCAAATTTTTTTNAGGAAAATTTAAAGATGAGGAAGTTCTTATTCCTAGGATTCCGATGAGCTCAACAGATATGCCCTTTGAATTTAAACGAATTCAATTCCCGCTTCGTCTTGCCTTCGCCATGACGATCAACAAGTCACAGGGCCAATCTTTGACTATTTGTGGCCTCAATCTAGAAAATGCGTGTTTTTCTCATGGTCAATTGTACGTGGCATGCTCACGTGTTGGCAAACGATCCGCATTATTTGTTCTTGCACCCGACCAAAAAACGAAGAATGTCGTTTACAACAAGGTGCTTGAATGAAAATCAAATCAAATCAGTGTATCCCAGCCTGAACAACATAGCTTTCAACAATTTTTTACCTAGAAATAATATAGAGGGCAATGCAACGTTTGCCGGGCCAGCTAGTAAGTTATACAAATAATAGCGGACTTCTTAAATGCTTTGCTCGAATCGAAATGCGCCCAGTAATTCATAAATCAACTGTTTATGAAAGAATAAAAAAGACTTTTGGCTAGCTGCGCCCATTCGGTCGCCCTATTGATTGCCAGCTAATGTGGTATTTATGTTTGGCCATATGTTGCATGCCAAGAGCCAAAATCCAATAGAGTTGAATGACCAAGCGGAGTTGAACTAATTGTGATTGGCGTCGCCCTTGACAACGGTCGAATGTTATGGAGTATTCCCAGCCATCCCAGATATCTGTTGAGGCTTKGGCAACTTACCCGTCTGGTTGACCTGCTGACACGTATTGTTCACGTGGATCTCGAACTTCTCACAGCATTTGTTCACCAGCACCAGATTGGGATCGTGGGCGACTGGCACTGCCGCCTGTATTGAGCTGTTATTGGCCACATGAGCGGAGACGGCAACGGCTAGTAGGGCGGAGAGCAGGGCCAGCAGAAGGCAGCTGCACTTCGCCAGGTAGGGCAGAATTTGCGCGCCAAGCGTAAATACGAGCATCATGCTCAAATACACACAGCTAACTCAGATACACCTACGGACACAGACACTGACACAGATACACGTATTCGTACTCAGAGTCGTAATCGAATGCGTCATCAAAGCTGTGGCTGATGCCGGTTTATAGCCAAGATCATGACATGCATGCCAAAAACTCAAGCCACAGCAGACGACGAGCGAGAGTTTCTT